CCCCGGGAGTGCCCCACCCCCGCCCCGCGTCGCCCACCCAGGAGTTTTGATCTCCTGAGGGCCAGATTTCCTCTTCCCAGGCGCATGGCTGAGGACCGGGGTTAGGGGCACTGGGTTCTTGATCTCAGCTCGGCAAAGTCCACGGCTCCTGGTCTTACCTGGCCCGCGCGGCGGCCGCGTCCCTTCCCGGCTGGAGCTCCCGCTACCCTTCTCGGTCTCCAAATCCTGCGTCGGAGAGCCCGAGACCTCCAGGCCGGCGCTGCCATCGCAGCCAGGCCAGCGGGAGGCGGGTGCTCCAGGAACGCAGCTCGCAGTTTGGGGTGGGGGCGGTGGCTTTTCAGTCGCCCGAGGTTCGGGTGCAATAAAGGCACCGCTAATGTAATTTACAAACAGCTCGGGCCGAGCGCGGCGCAGCGCCCGGACTGACAGGCGCATTAGGCAGGCTAATTCCAGCCGGCTCCTCCTACCCCCGGCCCGCTAATTAATGAGCTTCCCAACTTAGAGCCGCCTGCATTGGACAGAGAGTGAAAGACAGGGCGAGGGAGAAGAGGAGAGAGACGGGGGGAGCAGAGGAGAGAGAGAGACAGAGGAAGAGAGAGAGGGAGGGAGGGAGAGAACAGAGAGAAAGAGAGAGAGAAAGACGGCAAGAAAGGAGAAAGAGAGAAAGAAGTGCCGCTGCAGATAATTGATGACTCCTCCAGCAAGGCTAACTTGTTAGCAATAGTCAATTGCCCCGTCTCTCCGCCTCCCCTCGCAGTCCGGGATCGGCGCCCTAGCCTCGGCTCTTCCAACTGCCGCCGCCAGGATCCGGGGCCAGGAGCTGCCGCGGAGCCACCTGACACCTTTAAATAGCACCGGGGCTGGCGAAACTGGAGCCCCGCGCGGCGCGCCCCGGCTTCGGCCCCGGCTTGCTGGAAGCCCCGGCAGCGGCGGCGCCCGCGTCAGTGCCCTCCTCCCGGGGCCCCGCGCAGCTGTGCCCGCTTCAGCAGCCGCGCTAATCGGCCCCGCGCCCGGCCCGAGCCCTGCTCGGCGCGGCCTCCTTCCCGCCTGCCGTCTCTCGCCCGCGCCGCCCGGCGCCCGAGCTGCCCGCGGGCTGGGTCCCCGCGGCCCGAGCCGCCCCGGCCGGGCCCCCGAACGAGGCCGAGATGACTTCCAAGGAGGACGGCAAGGCGGCGCCGGGGGAGGAGCGGCGGCGCAGCCCCTTGGACCACTTCCCGCCGCCCGCCAACTCCAACAAGCCGCTGACGCCGTTCAGCATCGAGGACATCCTCAACAAGCCGTCTGTGCGGAGAAGTTACTCGCTGTGCGGGGCGGCGCACCTGCTGGCCGCCGCGGACAAGCACGCGCCAGGCGGCTTGCCCCTGGCGGGCCGCGCGCTGCTCTCGCAGACCTCGCCGCTGTGCGCGCTGGAGGAGCTCGCCAGCAAGACCTTTAAGGGGCTGGAGGTCAGCGTCCTGCAGGCAGCTGAAGGTAGGCGCCACAGCTGAGTTCCCCTGCGCCCAGCGTGCCCTGTGCTTCCTGCCCCATGCCTCCGCCCGCCTCTTCCCGCGCCGGCCGCCAGGGCCCTCCAGCCCGAGTTGCTGCCGCTGGGAGTGAACATAGGTGGGACAGGACCCAATCGCTATTTCCTCTCTATTTCCTAGGGACCCTTGGGTAGGCCAGAGTAGTGGTGACCTGACAGAGGTGGCAGGTGGGGAATCCAGGGTCTTTTGCTAGGCCCTTCTGGATAGGGTAGAGTTGGGGTGATTGGGGAGGAGTAAAGAACCAGTATTCACACCCACAGTCCGGTTCATCTCTGTCTGGCTTTCTCTGGTTCTCAGAGACTTCGGATCTTTCAAACCAACTCAGGTAGAAGGCAGAGACCAAAATCAATTTTTCCTGGGAACTTCCGGGACACCAGAGACAGGAGAAGGTTTGCCATAGCCGAGGCTGGCTCCGGTCTGGGCAGCCGAATTAAATCGGAGAAGGGAACAAACGGCAGACTGCGGGCCGGATGGGCCTGGGTGGGGTGGTGAGCTACGGGGGTGACAGCCAGGGTGGGGTGTCTGTCCTCTCTCCAGACGCGAGCCTATACTGTTGTTTCATTGCAGGTCGCGATGGAATGACTATCTTTGGGCAGCGACAGACCCCCAAGAAGCGGCGAAAGTCGCGCACGGCCTTCACCAACCACCAGATATACGAGTTGGAGAAGCGCTTCCTGTATCAGAAGTACCTGTCCCCCGCCGATCGCGACCAAATTGCGCAGCAGCTGGGCCTCACCAACGCGCAAGTCATCACCTGGTTCCAGAATCGGCGAGCCAAGCTCAAGCGGGACCTGGAGGAGATGAAGGCCGATGTGGAATCCGCCAAGAAACTGGGCCCCAGCGGGCAGATGGACATCGTGGCGCTGGCCGAACTCGAGCAGAACTCGGAGGCCGCAGGCGGCGGTGGCGGAGGCTGCGGCAGGGCCAAATCGAGGCCGGGCTCTCCGGCGCTTCCCCCAGGCGCCCCGCAGGCCCCGGGCGCCGGGCCCCTGCAGCTCTCGCCTGCCTCTCCGCTCACGGACCAGCCGGCCAGCAGCCAGGACTGCTCGGAGGACGAGGAAGACGAAGAGATCGACGTGGACGATTGAGCGGCGCCCGGGATCTTCCGCCGCCCCGGGCCCCTGGCGCCCGCACGCTCGCCGCCTCCCGGACCGTACCGCCCAGGGGAGCTGGGACCTCCTCTGCAACTCCCGCCTACTCCCCTGTCCCCGGCCCGGACTCGACTCCTGGCAGCCGCCTCTTCCCTCTCGAAGCAATAAACCTGGGCTGGCCGGCCGGGCCGGCCGCCGCACGCGACCTCCGCCAACCCGGGAGCCCTCGCCGTGCAATTCTGTATGGCTTCTGTATAAATATTTAAACCTATGTAGCGGGTTCTTCCCACCGCAGCCTGATTTTTTTTTCTTTTACTTTTTTAAATCTCGGAGATTTCCATGTTTTCAAAGCTCTCTCGGGCTTCTGGGTTTGCCGAGGGTGAGACAGATCGGAGGGCGGCGAGCACTAACCCTGCGGTCTAGAGGAGGGGGCAGCTCCGGCTGTTTTGATTTTTTTCTGCATGTGGAGAATGCACCGGCCCGCTCCCTCCTCGCCTCTCTCGGCCTATTGCGCTTGACTCTTATTTCCTTCCGCCTTTTTTCCCCCGCGTGGGAAGGGGGTGAGGGGTGCGGCCAGGTCTTGACTTGCAAGTTTCAAAATCGATCTTTCCTTCACCCCGCGAGAAAAGTCTGTTTTCGATGCCATTTCTGCCTCCCAATGCCCACTAACGCTATTTTAAAGATTCCTCTCTCTCTCATCTCCTCGGACTGACTGCTAGAGTCTGGCTCTTAGGGACAAAGCAGGGGGAAAATGAACCAACCGATCATCGAAAACAGAACCCAAAGTCCTAGAATTATTTTTTACTCTTTTTAGAATTTTTTTGCATGTGACAGAGACAGAGAGGAGACCGACCCAAGTCCTCACCCCACCTCCTCTGCAGCTCTGGGTCTGTCTTGCCATCTCCAGCAACCCAGCTCCTAGCTCGACTTGGCCAGGAAAGGGTTGCCTGATGAGGGTGGGTCCTGCGTGCCCCTGCCCTGCTCCTACCCTGCCCTCTCCTGCCCCGACTGTACCCAAGCCCTCTTTCTCCAGTAAATAAAGTCTTTGCCATTTTACTAGAACCGGCAGTGACCGTGTCTGGGTGAGCGGGCCTGATTCCGGGAAACAGCGGCAGGGCGGGCTTCTTGCCGCTGCTCCTCGCGGGTCGCCGCAGCTTTGGAGATTTTGGGGGAGTTTTGGGGCAGGCGTGAGAGTGAGGGACGAGAAGGAAGCAGGGGAGGAGACGCTATTTGCCCACAAAGGCGCGGCAGTTATTAAATGAGGGGAGAAGAGGGCTTCGCCAGGTCGGGGTAAAAAACGAGGCGTGCGATGCTAGGAGAAAATGCCTATGTGCGTGGGGGCACCTCGGGTGCAACAGTAATTTGCTTGGGGAAAAGAGTGAGGACCTGCCCTGCGGTTTCTGTCTCCCACCCGGGACCCAATGGCATTCTCCCTGCGTTCCCTGAGATAAGGACTAAGCTCCCGGTGCATGGCAGGTATCACTTGTCGGACATCCTGGTGGAACCTGGGGGTCTCCCAAGTTTTGGTTCAGGCCCTAAAGGAGGGGGGATGAGCCCAAGGCAGCAAGGGCAGGCTGAATTGCTCACAAGGACACCCCGGGATGTGAGCCCAGAGCGTCTAAGGGCTGGGGTGAATTTCTGGGAACATTAGCAAATTCTGGATCCCGAATTTGGCTGGGGTCAGAGACATCGATCTCGCAAGAACTCTCTGGGGTCTGTGGCATCCCAAAGGCGGCTGGGACAGGGATTCAGGCGTCTTTCACTTTCCCGGACAGAGCGCGTTTCTCTCTGGGCTTTTGTTGTCGCTGTGCTGGCGAGTGGTCGCTGTCACCAGAGTAGGGTCCCGCCTCCGGGCCGCTAGACTCTTTTTCTCCACAAAATTGATGTGAGAAATGCGCATCTGGTCTTGGGCAGACGATGGGGCCCCCAGGCCTGAGTCAGGAAGGTGTGTGTCCGGGAGGAAACTGAGAGACAAACAGAAAAAAAGAACAGAAAGACATTCCAAAAGCAGAGAGAAAGTGGACAGCCACAGAGACAAGGAGAGAGAGAAAGAGGAAAAGCTAGGCACAGAGAGAAGCAGAGACACGGGGAGACGGAGACAGAGGGAGAAAAAGAGAATGGGAAGAGGGGAGAGAAGACAGAGGAGAGGACCAGGGAAGGAAGGAGGTGGCCGGGCAGCCGGGCAGCCGGGCGGGCGTGCGGCAGGTTCCTCCCGGGCGACATAAATCGCCCTCTCTCAGGATGGATGGGTCTGTAATTCGGAGCGCGGACCATGAAGGCCGGGACGAATGGGCCTGGGCGGCCGCTGACAAGCGACAATAGCCGGGCCCAGCCCCCCGCGGCTCACGGTGCGGGCATGGCCGCGGCCCTCCGCAGCCCAGAGCGCGCTGGCGCTGGCGACCATATGGTTTTTGAATTTTCTTCACAATTTGTAGACAATTTGATGGATTAGGTCCCCGCGTGCGCCTCCCCGGCACAAAGGCGGCGCAGGGACCGCGGCGCGGCGGTCACCCGGGCATCTGCGCCCGCCGTGCGCACCCCCCACCCC